CTCCGGCTCCAGCAGCCCGCCAAAGCCCCACATGCACGCCCAGCACGCCACGCGGCGGTAGGCGCCCTCGGAGAGCACGGAATTCTCCTCCACGGACGTCCTTCTGGGGGGCCGGCCGCCCACCAGAGGAGGACAAGGGGGGGAAGCAGGGTCCCATTTCGGGAGCGGCCAAGAGGGGGGTGTCCAAGAGGGGGGGGGGGGGGGGGCAAATCATGACCGGCGGCATGTGCGCGGCCCAGCGGGGGGGCCAGGGACGTAATGAAATGAGAAGAGGCGCCAGGAAACCTGGGGAAATATCACGGCCCCCGCCGTGAGATCCCCCCCCCCCCCTAGTCATCACCCCCCTCTCTGCCGCCCCCGAAATGTTCGGCCGCCAAGGGCACTCGCCAGGCCCCATGGGACCGTCAAAAGACGGCCCCGGATGAAAAACTGGTCCCCGGGGGAGTGGGTCGAGAAGTCCGGGGGCCCCGCATTGGAGAAATTCTGGTGTCGGATCTCTGGAGGTTAAGCTCGGTAAGCTGGAGGGGGGGGGGACTCTGTCCCTGCATCTCTGCCGCACGCGAGCCGTCGGACGGCCTCCTCAGACCCTCCGATGGGACCCCGAGGGGTGGGATCGCGCTCGCCCAGCGCAGCATGCAGGGGTGACAGCGAGGGCGCATCCCCGCACAAGCGGCGGAAGAGGAGGGGCAGGAAGGGGAGGGAGGAGGGAGGGACAGGAAGAGAATGAGAGGAGGAGGAGGAGGAGGAGGAGGAGGAGGAGGAGGAGAAGGAGGAGGAGGAGGAGGAGGAGGAGGAGGAGGAGGAGGAGGGGAGAAGGGAGGGCGGGGGGGATGAAAAATTGCTTTTTGGACGCGGACTGGCACTCGCACGCGCACTCATGCCATACGCCATCTGGCGCGTGGGCGGGAAAATGAGCTCGTGACAGCCAGCAGCGCATGGAGAAGGGGGGGAGGGGGAACAACAGTAACATCCAAACACAAACTGGCAACAACGAGCCAGCATGCCAAGGCTCAGGGGCATGATGTGCAAGTGTTTTGGTCCAGGGTGGCTTCGAGTAGGTGTTGCTCTGATGGGAAGCAGACATTCATCTTCATCGTACAGGCATTTAGTGCGTTCATTCCTCGGCCTTCCAGGAGATCCTTTCACAGTGGTTGTTGCAAGACGTACGCTGGTAGGCATAAAACGTCAGCTGCTTCAACGCACCTTCCTCGCTGCTACGGCAAACTTTTTCCAAACCGCTCCAATTGGCTGTTCCACCACTGCGCTGTGTACGGTGTTTGGCGAGCTCGTCCACAATTCTCTCTCTCTCTCTTTCTCCCTCTCCCTCTTCTCCACACATATATATATACACATATATGTATGTATGTATATATATATATACACACATATAGCGGTCACTGGGCCCCGAACGCATCAAGCCTGCGCCTGTCGGCTTTCTTCAGCCAGGCACTGCTCAGAGAGCACATACATGACCTCGCATGTAACGAGGGCCCCCCTACAGCACTCCCACCCCCTGCTCCGCACTCCCTCGGGGGCAGGCAGGCGGAGAGGCCCTGCCCCGCACCCCCGAACGGGGCAGGAGGTGGCCCTCGCGTGCCCCTCCCTCTGGGAGGGTGCCCGGTGCCTCCCGTCTGCGGCCAGGCACCTCTGCGTGCAGCGGCGTGCCCCTCCCTCCGGGGGGTGCCTGGTGCCTCCTCAGGGGAACAAGCAACGACATGAACACAAGAACTCGGAGGTCCGCGCGGACTTTTCTCGGATCCGCGCTGGGGCCCCCTGGCGCGCGGAGCGCGCCAGGGAGGGGGGTGTCCAGCGCGGATCTGAGCATTACGCGCGGAGCTCCGAGCTTTTATGCTTATGCCACTTTTTGTTCCCCGATGGGCCCTCCCCCGACCCCCAAAAACTCCAGAAGTTGGCACGCGCGGGGAAGGCTGCGGTCGACGTGGGCAACTCCTCCAGCCCACCGCCGGCATGGATCACTAGGGGGGGGCATGGACACAGGAATGTGGCATGCACGTTCGCGAATGTGGTCATTCTTCGCTCCCCTACTCCCTTGAAGGGGCCCCAGGACACACAAATAGATACACACAAACAAAAATATTCCCCATACTGTCCCATATTCTCTGGAATTTCGTCTTCCCCCCCACTTCCCATATTTTCCCATATTTTCTGGGGGATCGACGATTGATTGTGTCTGTGTGTTTTTTTCCCTCCTGCTCCCTCTGCGGCCAGGCACCTTTCCATGGCGTGCCGCGGCGGCGGCTCCACGGCGACACGCCGTGGCCTCGCCCGCGGAGCGCGCGCCGCCCCGCTCCGCGGGGCGGGGGGGGGGGGCGGGAAAAGGCGCTCTCGGGGGCCTCGACGCCTGGAGGCTGGGGAAACCAAAAGGTACCGATTCCGCTGAGGAGGAGGAGAGGAGGAGGAGGAGAGGAGGAGGAGGAGGAGGAGGAGGATATGGACCTCTAGGAGGAGGGAGGAGGAGGAGGAGGAGGAGGAGGAGGAGGAGGAGGGGGGGGGGGAAAAGGCTCTCTCGGGGGCCTCGACGCCTGGAGGCTGGGGAAACCAAAAGGTAGGAAGGCACCAACTATACACCAACACCGATCCTGGCCAGGATCACCCTGGGCCCAGGATCGGTGTATACGCCCTCCTGCCCTGCGCAAGAAGGCATATACACCGATCCTGGGCCCACGGTGATCCTGGGCCAGGATCGGTGTTGGTGTATAGTTGGTGCCCTCCGAAAAGGTGCCGATTCCGCTGGTCTCCGGACCTCTCCGGGGGCGCGCTCTGACCAGGATCTCGATGCGATGCCATGCCACAGCTCCTGACCGCACATCCTCGACAATTTCCGGCGTCAACTCATGGGAGCCGGTTCTTGCGAACCGACGCTAATCGAGAACCAGTCGACGCCACTAGACGCTAAATCGACGCTGAATCAACGCCAGCCGACGCTTAATGGGCGCTATCTCATCGACTTCCAGCCGCTAAACGACCCTAACCGATACTAAAGACGTAATTAGAAAGGTATACCAGGCTACCATGATTTGCTACCGAAAGAGCCCCAGAGCAAAGGCAGAGGGGTCGGGCTAAGACGAAGCCAAGACGAGGACAAATTCGGCAGAGGATGAATCGGGAATCTCTGAGATCCGGCGGTTCTGGATGATGTATCGGGCACCCTGGCCTTCTCAGAGCGCTCTGGACCGCTCTGGAACGGATGTATCCTTGTCCTGGCACCGCCCGATACGCCCATATCAGCAACTTTGGGGTCGTGCCCTTTGGACCTCGCCCGGACCCTCCGCGACCAGAATTTGTCAGTGACGGCTCTCCGCCCAGCGGCGAACGTCGCGGGGGGGGCGGGGGGGGAGACGGGGGCAGGGCTGCGTCGGCCGTGCCACCGAAGCCCGCAGCGTCCAGCGCGTGTGCCCAGAGACCAAGACCCCCTCGCGTTGTGGCAAAAATCACGACGGGTAACTTTTCTCAGCTACACCACGCGAAATGGTTAAGAAATCATGGGTTAAGAAATTCATGGTCTCAGAACTCGAATAAAAACCCAAAATTTCTATCAAAATCTTAGGATTTACGTTGAAACATTAAGAATAATCGAGACTCTGGCCGAAAACTCAAGTTTTCTTAAGCATCGCCTAGGGTGTACACGCAAAGAGTGACCCTGGGTAAGGATGACCTTTGGTGCGCGGACTAAGGGGGCGCAAGGTGGCCAAATCCATGCGCGCAAGCAGCCGCTATCGCATCGCGCTCAGCGATCGGGGGGACCCCGATGAGCTCGCACCATAGGTCACTCCGGCGAAGGCTCACTCTTAAGCCTCCCGGGACCCTTGCCTGGCCCCGGGACTGTCAAAGCACGACTCTAGCTGAGAAGCCAGTCCTGGGGACCCACGGGTAAGGGTCCAGACCTCCGGGGGTCGACGTTGTGAACAAAGCATGACGTCGGAGTTCTGAGGAGGAGGGGGGATCGGATGGGCTCGGCGGAAGGGAACGTCATGCTCCACAGTGCCGTCTGGAGCCCTTTTGGTACACAAGTATGGAGTGTTACTCTGGAAGAACAATCTTGGCAGTATCTATATGCCGCCCTTGCCGGCAGCAGAGGGGGAGGGGGAGAGGGAGGAAGGAGGGGGAGGAGGATAAAAGAGAGGTTCGGATGGGGCAAGGCGGATCGTGAAGCGAGGCTACACTGCCTGGACAACATCAGCACGAGCATTACGCCCGGCTCTGGCTATCACATCTCACAGTCAATCCGTGGGCTAAGTATGCACGATAAGGATGCAAGGGCCTTGGAAGGCCATGTCGACACTTTGCGAGCGGGGCGCGGCCAGCGAAAGTGGCCAAGGATGAGCCGAAGCGAAAACATGCAAGGGTAACCTTGGGAAGGTTGCCCATTCTGACTATGCGAGTTGACGGTATATTTTGGCGATCTGCCCATCGAAGGTCTGCTGTGGAGGGAAAACGGGCACGAGGCAGGAGGAGATACCAAGCGGCTTGTGGTTCGATGGTTTTGGACTTGTCCCCCTCCTTTGAAGAGACCCAGGAACACACAACTAAACACACACACACACACAAAACCCAGGATCCCCCACAGTTCCTGATGGTTTCTTGATGTTCGTCTTCCCCCCCACTTCCCATCGTTTCCAATATTTTCCTGGAAGTCGACGTTCAATTGTTTCTGTGTGTTTTGATGCCTCTCCTGAGGGTTTGAGGTTCGAGGGTGTTTAACCTGTCCCTCTCTTTGTGAGCCTCCAGGAGGCTCCTCGTCGTCTCTCTGTGGGCCTCCACGAGGCTTCCAAATTTCCCGAAACCAACGAGCCCTTGGAGAGACAAACGGACTTCGGCTATGTCCTGAGGCTTTGTTCAGGTTGTCTCACGTGCTTGGACGTTCACGGACACCCCGTGACGCTTTCAGGCGTGTTCACGGAGGTCCCCGGGGCATTCCTCGAGACACGAGCTCCGCAACGCTTGCCAACGTTTGCCAACGTTTTCGGACGTCCCTGGGCGTCTCGGAGAGCTTCCAGGGTCGAAGGGTTTGAAGGGATGAGGCCGAAGAAGGGGAGGATCAGAAACGGGAAGAGGACGAGGGGGACGAGCCGGGCGGATGCCGAAGATCAAAGGTGAGGGTCGCACCCCATCTGGGAGGCCTATAGAATCCCTGGGCCTCCTTCCAACGGGCGCGTCGCCTCGCCCGCTGCAGGCGCGGCGCCCCGGTCCTGAGCGAGGCGGCGAGGATGTTGAGGGCCTCTTGCGGCGGCGGCCCGGGCGCGCACGCGGCAGGGCCGACAGAGGCCCCGGGCTTGCCGCCGCCGTGGAGCGCGCGCGCGCGGCTCGGCGATCGGGAGGCAGGCGCAGACGAGGGATGCCGGCCGCAGCGGGGTACCCAGACCGCCCCGGGCGCCCCGTGCCGGGACCCAGTGGTGGCCTGTCGGCCTGTTGCACGTGCGCACGTGCCTCCTGCCTCCTCGCCCTGTTGCTCGCCCCCGCCCCTCTTCTGGTCCCCCCCTCGGCAGGTGAAGAGATCCAGACACGTGAACTCCATGCAGCAGCATGGCTGCCAGGATGGCGAGATGTCGACAGGGGGTCAAACGAGGTTTTCACGGCTCCAGCCCGAGCCACGCCTCTGTTTTCCTGTGGAACTCAGACGGCTTGATGGGCTTGAGTGCTGCGGCTCCTCCTCCTCCTCCTCCTCCTCCTCCTCCTCCTCCTCCTCCTCCTGGTTCCTCGTTTTGGACGCCGGAAATGGGCACGGAAACAATGGGCACAATGCCCAACAGCAAATGATGTCCCGAACCAACAGCGGCCGCTGTTGGGCGGGCGGCCTCCTGTCTCGAATAGACACGGGCCGCGGCGGCGCGGACAGCGAGTCCTGCTCAAAATGAGCAGGAACTGCTGTCGAGCATTGTACCCATTCTTTCCGTACCCAGACTGGTGGCAAGAGGTCCCGGTTGGGTGCTGCATCCCCCAGGGCCGGCCCTGTGGGGTCGATCAAACTGAGGCTGGGTGACCCCTGAAGCAGCGCACCAAGGGCCACGGGCGGGTCCTCCTCCTCCTCCTCCTCCTCCTTCTCCTCCTCCTCCTCCTCCTCCTCCTCCTCCTCTTATCGTCTCGTCCACGTCCTCCTCCTCCTCGTCCCGTCCTCCTCTCCTCCTCCTCCGCCTCCTCCTTTCCCTGCTGGGGCGGGGAGCCTCCCTCCTCCTCCTCCTCCTCCTCCTCTCCTCCCCCTCCCCCCTCCCTGCGGGGCAGGGAGCCTCCTCTCCTCCTCCTCCTCCTCCTCCTCCTCCTCCTCCTCCTCCTCCCTTGGGCAGGGAGTATGAAGTGGCCGCTGCCGGCCCGCAGGCCAGCGGACACGCATCTGTCGGGTCACTCCGGGGGCTGAGGGGGGGGGGATTCGGCGGTGAGGCCCAGTGGGAAACTTATGGGAGCCTCCCATACCATCTCGCCGGCTCTTGCGAATCTCGACGCTAGTCGACGCTAAATCGACGCTAATCGACGCTGAATCGACGCTAATCGAAGCTAACCGACGCTAAGACGGCGCTATCTCATCGACTCCCAGACGCTAATCGACGCTAAAAGCGGAATTAACAGGGCACGCCAGGCTCCAATGATTTGCTACCGAACGAGCCCCAGGGGAAAGGCAGAGGGGTCGGGCTAAGACGAAGCCAAGACGAGGACAAATTCGGCAGAGGATGAATCGGGAATCTCTGAGATCCGGCGGTTCTGGATGATGTATCGGGCACCCCGGCCTTCTCAGAGCGCTCTGGAGCGCTCTGGAACGGATCTATCTTTGTACTGGCACCGCCCGATACGCCCGATACCATTTGACCTCGCCCGGAACATCCGCGACCAGAATTTGTCAGTAACGGATTCCAGGCGCGCCGAATCGTAGTCGCGACTGGCGGAGGTCGCATGTCGGTAGCGAAGAGGCACTGCGCGTCGAGTTTAGCGAAGGTTTCGAGGCTGTGGACGGCTCGGTCGTTGCCCAAACGCGCGTCCGGAAACCGAGTTCCGGTCGCGGCCAGAGATCGCCCAGATCGTCACCGGATTTGTTCGACAACGGGTGATCTGGGCGCGGGGTGGTGGATGTGGACACCGACAGCCGTCGCGCTGCCATAGGGAACGCTGACAAAGGAACAAGGGGGCCTCTCCGGGGATCATCTGGCCCGGGTCAATCCAGACCCGGGTCAGTCAGGCCTTGCAGACTCCTGCACAATCCTGCGCCCAAGCCCGGGTCCACGCGAAGGATCCCGCAAGATCCGGCAGGATCCTCAAGGGCTCCCAACTTCGCGCTTCGCGCTGCGCGAAGCGCGAAGTGCGAATAACTTCGCGCTCTCGCGCCGCCTCCCAGGGGAGCAAAAGAGGATGAGGAGGAATCGGAGCCGAACCGCGAAGCGCGAAGCGCGAATAACTTCGCGCCCTCGAGGGCGCCCTTGGATCCCTGCACCCAAGCCCGGGTCAACGCGACCCCGTCCCTGCAGGATCCTGCCAGATCCGGCGCTCTGGCCGACCCCCGCCTGCACTGACCCCCGTCTCGAGGCTCCCGACCTCTCTGGCCACGGCGAGCCCCGGCCACGCATCGGTTCCGAGACCTAGATTTCGGTCGGGCACGCCCTCCTGCAGGCCGACGCTGGAAGAACAGCCAAACCATCATCAAACAGGTCTGCAAGAGTCCGAGGAGCACGAGGAATCGTCACCAGACGAGTCTGTTCCTGAATGCTCCTCCTGCAGAGGGACATGCCCGACTTAACTGAAGGGAAACGGGGACACACAAATAAATACACACAAATATAAATATTCCCCATATGTTCCCATATGTTCTGGGTTTTTGTCTTCCCCACCACTTCCCATATTTTCCCATATTTTCTGGGAAATCGACGATTAATTGTGTCTGTGTGTTTTTGTTCCCTCCTGATTAACCTGGATCGAAGGAGCGGCCCGACAGCCACAGCCCCTGCGGACCCCGACGCGATCCTCCTCTCAGCGTCTTGGCTGTGCCCCCGCCCCCCGGCGGGAAGATGTCCGAGTCCACCACTCCTCGGGGGCCCCGAGGCAGGACTCGAGGCAGTGGATGTGGACAGGCCTAGAAGAAGAAGAAGAAGAAGAAGAAGAAGAAGAAGAAGAGGACAACGAATAAAACAAATTGACAAAAACACGCCATGAACAGAAACTTTTGGCGCTCCGCGCGGATTTGATCCGCGCTGGACCCCCCTCCTTGGCGCGCGCAGCGCGCGAAGGGCGACGCCGGAGGCGCCGCCGGGGGGTGGGCCAGCGCGGATCCAACGAATCCGCGCGGAGCGCGAAACAATTCTAGGGGGCCACATGCGAACCCTACCCCTACCCCCCACGATTTCTGAGGGGGAGGGTGGGGTTCACTTCGCTCGAGAGCTCCCGCACGAAGTGAACCCCACCCTCCCCCTCAGAAATCGTGGGGGGTAGGGGTAGGGTTCGCATGTGGCCCCCTAAATTCGGTTTATGGATGTGTTTGTTCTTCGAACATCGTCCCGTGAGGGGCAGCGTGAGGGGAACCAGCTCCGGCGGGGAAACATCGACCCGGAAGCACGCGACACACTGCCGACAGGTCGGCGACAGACCCCTCAGAACAGCAAATGCGCCATTGCCCTGGGCGGGGCGGGCTATCGTGCCGCCTGTCGGTGATGGATGGGCGCTTGGGGGCCGAGGCGTCCCCCCCCTGAGCCGTGACCCCCTCCCCAACTGAAGGGGCCCACAAACACACAAATAAGCACCCACAAATAAAAAGATTCCCCACAGTTTCCCATATTTTCGGGGTTTCTGTCTTCCCCCCCACTTCCCATGTTGTCCTACATTTTCTGGGGAATCGAGGATCAATTGAGTCTGTGTGTTCTTTCCTCTCCTGACCAACGTTGCCCCACTGGTTTTCGAACCGCAGCTCGGCTCTCCGAAGGCCACTCGGGACGAGCCGAGCACCCCGCGAACGCCCTGGGAGAGGCGCAGGCTGCTGGAAGGCACCCCGAGGCTGGAAAACCGCCGAGAACCGCCGAAACCGACCGAAAGCCTTCAGCCTCGAACCTCGGATCGCCCGCAACGTTCAGCCTGATCCTGGCGGCGGATCTGTCGGGGACGGCCAACGAGGTGGGCGTCCAAGAGGGGGAGGGGAGGGCACAAATCATGGCCGGCGGCACGTGGGCGGCCAAAGGGGGGCGGGGTGGGGACGCATTGAAATGAGAAGAGGCGTGAGTTGTAATCTGGGGAAACATCATGGCTGCCTGGTCATCACGCCCCTCTTTCCCGCCCCCGAATCTGGGCCGCGGGCGTTCGCGATCATGATGGAGTCGTTTGTGGGCATGATGGCCCTGAGGTTCCGCACGTGCCAGTCGAAGAGGTCCGCGGCGGCGCCCGAGTTCGGCGGCGCCTCTGCGGCGGCGAAGGGCAAAGAGGACCCAGGGAGACACGAGCGAATCGACACAACTTACAGGACTCGTGTCCAATATTCTATAGCATTTCTCTGACCCCTTTCAACTTCCCATCTGTTCATATAGCGTTGATTTGCGCGTGTCCTCCTTTCCCCTCCTGAGAAAAGGGGGCCCTCCGACGTGGTACAGCTTCGGGCTGCGCGCGGACAGCCCCCCAGGCAGTCCCAACTGGCCTCAAGGAGGCCCCCCGAGAGTAGCCTGGGGCGGGTTCACCACCCCGAAATGGGCTGCGGAGCGCCCCAGGAGCGCCGCCGGTGGCGGCGCCAGGTGTTGAGACCGTCCCGGAGCACTCGGGGGGCCTCGGCGGCCTGTCGAAACCTTACCCACAGACCTCCTCATCCTACTCTTCCTCATCCTGTTCCTCCTCCCCCCTCCTCCTCTTCATCCTCGTCCTGCTCCCCCTACTCCTTCTTCTTCTTCTCCTCCTTCTTCTTCTCCTCCTCCTCCTCCTCCTCCTCCTTCCTCCTCCTCCTCCTCCTCCTCCTCCTCCTCCTCCTCCCCCCCTCTTCCTCCTCCCCCTGCTCCTCCTCCTCCTCCTCCTCCTCCTCCTCCTCAACCTCCACCTCTTCCTCCTCTGCCTGCTCCGCCTCCAACTCTCTCCCTCCTCCTCCTCCTCCTCCTCCTCCTCCTCCTCCTCCTCACCTCCTCCTCCTCCCCCCCATAATGTTTCCATAATGCGTGGACCCCCAGAAATCTGGACCTGTGGGCCAGTGTGTGTCGCCCAGGGCCCACTGAATGACGGCCCCCCAGAGGCCAAAAACCGTGAAACACCGTCCGCCGTATTCTCGCTGCACGGCGCGACGAGGTCAAGGCCCGACGGCTCGATTCCTCTCCCCGCCCGCCCCGACCATTGGACGGCGGACTTCTCCTGCCGCGGCCGACGAGATCGCTGCTGACGATGTTGCTTCACGCTCTGGTACTGGTCGCGACCGACCTGCTTCAAACTCGGTCGCGGCCGACTTGGAGTGCCGACCGGTCGCCGCTCCTCCTCCTCGTCCTCCTCCTCCTCCTCGTCCTCCTCCTCCTCGTCCTCCTCCTCTCCCCTCTCCCCTCCTCCCCCTCCCCCTCCTCCTCCTCCTCCTCCTCCTCCTCCTCCTCCTCCTCATCCTCCTCCTCCTTTTTTCTTGAGCAGGCAGTCTGGTACACAGCCGGCACGTATCATAAGGGTACGTGATGAGGATGCAAGGGCCTCGGACGCCCACTTCGAAGCTTCTCGAGCTGGGCGCGGCCCACGAAAGTGACCAAGGATTGACCGAGGAGGCAAGCCTTGGGAGAGGTGCCCATCCTCTCTATATGCGGGTGGACTGTCCGACCGTGACCGAAAAAAAGTCTGGTATAGTCGGGCTGCTCAAACATGGGAAACAGTGAGTAAGGAACGGAGCCCCTCTTTGGCCCCCCGAGAGTGCCTGCGCGCACGAGAGGGGCCAGAGTTGGACCTATAGGCAAGAAGAACATCCCTCAAGAGAATGAAACACTCCGCTGACCAAAACAAATAGAATATGTAAGGGTATCCTCCCCAGGATGCAAGTATGGGACATCCAACAAACACGAATAACACTACAGCACCCTCCCCGAACCGATCTACCAGGGTCCGACGGTAGAGGAACAGCCATGGAAGGACCTTCGGGAACATCGAGCCAATTCCGATGGGAGGCACAGAGACACACTAATACTACATGTCCTCCTTGGAGGCGCGCGTCCGACCCGAACATATAGCATACACATCTTGTAGTAGATCGTTTCCCGAGCGGTGTGGCCACAAAACAAGTGCGCGCGTCGCCCCTTGTGGGGGGGGGGGGGGCGGCGACGCACGCATAGTATTAGTACATTGGGGTGGCGCGTGGGAACACGAGGGAAGGGTGGATAGCGTGTCGCGCCGAGGCCGACATGCTGGGTCAAAATTCCTGACCGCACATTCTCTGCAGTCTGTTCCTGACCGCAAGTTCCTGACCCTTGCCTCCCCTGGCGATCTTGGTTCCACACACTCCTGCACAATCTCGCACATGCTCTGCCGCACGTTCCTGACCTTGTCCTCCTCCGATGATCTGGATGCAAGGTCCGCGGCAGCCCCCGCGCCTGCTTCAACCACTTCTCGAAGAGCGCCTCCAAGACCTCCACCTGTTGAGCAAGGACCGATCGTCATGGTGCTGCTACAGGCCAACCAGACAACGTCCTTCGAGCAAGATAATGCTCGATGCGCAGCAACAATACGAGCCCGATGTGTTAAAACAAGAAGGTCTCAGCCAGAAATGTTCCAAGAACAGTTGCGCGTGGACCACACGAGGTTCTCGGCACATCCTTTGGTGGGCCTGTAGGCCAGCCAAGACGCGTCGCCACTGCTCGGGGACCTTCTGACCCCGTTCAATGCAAACCTTGGACACGTCGGGCGATCAAAGATCCCGCAAACTCCCGCAACATCCTGCAGAATCCTGCACCCAAACCCTGGCCACCGCTCGGACATCCAGGATACCCGTCCGAGCGATACCAGGAACCCGGGTCAGTGCGGCCCTGGCCTGCAGGATCCTGCAAGCTCTGGCGCCATGGCTGCCACCCGTTTGCACTGACCCCCGTCTCCTGAGCCCCGACCACTGCTCGACACCCGCGAGCCCCGGCCCCTCCCCCCTCGGAGCGGCCGTGCGCGCCGCTCCGAGGGGGGGGTCGTCGTCGTCGTCGGCGTCGTCGGCGTCGTCGTCGTCGTCGGCGTCGTCGTCGTCGGCGTCGTCGTCGTCGGCGTCCTCGTCGTCTTCATCGTCCGTCGTCGTCCGTGTCGGATCGGCGCCCGCTGCCCCCCCGAGGCCCCCCCATCGGAGGAGCTGCGCGGGCAGTCGGGCGGGGAGGCCGGCGGGCGCCCCGCCGCAGGTCCGGTCGGCAGGTGTCCCGGGGACGTCGGCTCGGCCTGCAGCGTGCCTCTAGGAGGTCGCCCGCAGTGTTTCGGCGAGGGCCTGGGGCTTCCTTAGAAGAAGCACCAACGCCATAAACATAAACTTTTGGCGCTCCGCGCGAGTTTCTGGGATCTGCGCTGGACCCCCGCTCCCTGTTGCGCGGAGCGCGCCAGGGGCGGCGCCAGAGGCGCGGCCAGTGGGGTCCTGGCGAGGATCCAAGAAACCCGCGCGGAGCGCCAAAGGTTTATGGTTATGGCATTTTCTCTTGGATTCCCTCCCTGACCTTCCAGGAGGGCTAACAAGAAGCACCAGAGCCTTGAAGTATAAACTCCTGTCGAGGTGTAAGCACTCCAGATCGGTCTATAGGCCTGAAGGGCTTTTTTATCGCACTCTGGAAGGTCAGGGTCAAAACGGTAGGCTCGTGCGGCGTCGGCTCGCGCAAAGGTCTTTGACACCGCGTCAATCGTTAGACCTGGAATCGATCGTGACCCCGATCATTCAAGGGTTGAACTTCGTCGGGTCCAGTGGCGTCACCGTTTCCCTCGGTGCTTGCGCGTCGCAGGATTCAACCTTGAACGCCTTCGCTGGCGTCGCTGGCTCGCCAACGCCGCATGAACCTACCGTATACGGTCTGACCCGCTCTCGCCTATTCCCCTCCCCGTCCATGCCCTTATTTGTGAATGTTCAATCTATCTCTGCGTTTAGTGTTCTCCGTTCGGTTGCCAACTTCGCAACTCTGCGTTCACCAACGCATCCTGCCGGACGCACGGCCGAGCGAGCGAACCCCGGCTCTCTGGTGTGGGGGGGGTGCAAGCCGATCACCTGACAGGTTCGCTTTGGGCAGCTCCACCTGTGCCCGCGTGGCACCAATCCTGCGTTACCCACCTCGCACCTGCTCTGGAGTCCCGAAACGGTGCGGTGACCGACCGTGCGGTGACCTCGAAATCCCCCTAGACCTCACCGCACGGTCCGTCACCGCTCGGTCTTGGGACCCTGGAGGCCCCTGTCGCCCGAGACGTCCTCGGAGAACGACCCGAGTCCAAAACCGTGCGGTGACCCCGAATCCCCACCGACTCACCGCACGGTGTGGTCACCATCCGACAAACTCAGATTATCCCGGGGGGGGGGGGGCGGGGGGGCCCGATGAGCGGGGCTTCTCGCCCGACCCAAGCAAAACATACCCCACCGAATCGGGTCGCGTCGGTACGGAGATTCGGATCGAATCGGCTGCGCCTGTATGCACAGCAGCGCCAGGCGAACATCGGCGCGCATCGGAGCGTCGGCACAGTGGAATCGACTCGGATCGGGCTGGCCGAGCTTGACATCGAACCGCATGGATCGAATCGAAGTGGACCCTGGCGGGGGAGGAGAAGGGAGGAAGAACGAGGGACGACGACGAGCCCTCTCCCCCAAATCCGAACATCACAAGTGCATTCACCCTGGGCACTGTCGCCCGCTTGGGGCCCCGGAGCCATCACAGGTCGAACGACTGGGTCTGGGCTCCTGGCGTTTTTTTTCTCGCGATGCTGTTATATGTTGTCCACAACTCGGATCTCAACGAAGACAACATCGAATCGAATCGATTATAAAAACAAAGTCGACGCGAGAATGCGAAATGGTTCGGATTTTGTCCACAGCCTCGGTGGATCGCCGATGCATCTAATCAACTCGATCTCGATTCTGTCCACAAGAGCAGGAGAACCGAGAATCGAATCGATTAGATGCATCGGCGATCCAAACGAGTCGGATCAGCGGAAATCGGCAACCGAATCGGGAGAAGTCGAGTCGGCCGAAATCGTTAGGCTAGTAAGCCTCCGTGAAGATATCGGGATCCAAATCGGAATCCGAAGCCGAATCGAATCGGAATCGGAGGCCATCGAGCTCGAATCGGATCGAATCCGAGGAATCGAAACGAGCCCCGAGAGAGGGGCGACGGCGAGCCTTCTCGCAGAAAGAGCGGCGAACCCTGTCGTGGCTCGCCACGGGCTGCCGCCCTGGGCGCAGGCTCCAGGTCGGGCCCGCCAGGAGGAGGAGGAGGAGGAGGAGGAGGAGGAGGACGAGGAGGAGGACGAGGAGGAGGAGGAGGAGGAGGAGGAGGACGAGGAGGAGGAGGAGGAGGAGCGATGCCCCGTGCGGGCGTGAGCCCGTCGACACATACTTTGACAAGCTCGAGTGCGCTGTCTACCGCGAATCGGGACTGCAGTCCACGATAGAGACAGTCGACACACACGATAAGACACCTCCCTGTAAGAAATCCAGGGGCACACATTCCCGCAATCTCGGGCTTCGTCTCCCGCCAAAAGGTCCCGCTGGAAACCCAGAAGGCCATCGGGTAATGTCAAGTGTGTGCGTGTGTGTGTGTGTATGGTGGTGTGTGTGGTGGTGTATGGGTGTGTGGTGGTGTGTGTGGTGGTGTGTGTGTTTGGTGGTGTGTGTGTGTGGTCGTGTGTGTGTGTGGTGGTGTGTGCGGTGCGTGTGTGTTGTGTGTGGTGTGTGGTGTGTGGTGTGTGTATTTGTGCGCGCGTGTGTTGTCTTGTCATGTCATGTCATGTCATGTCATGTCATGTCTTGCCTTGTCTTGTCTTGTACGGTGTGGTGTGGTGTGGTGTGGTGTGGTGTGGTGTGTGGTGTGTGGTGTGGTGTGTGGTGTGTGGTGTGGTGTGTGGTGTGGTGTGTGGTGTGTGGTGTGTGGTGTGTGTGTGGTGTGTGGTGTGTGGTGTGTGGTGTGTGGTGTGTGGTGTGTGGTGTGTGGTGTGTGGTGTGTGGTGTGTGGTGTGTGGTGTGTGTGTGTGGTGTGTGGTGTGTGGTGTGTGGTGTGTGGTGTGTGGTGTGTGGTGTGTGGTGTGTGGTGTGTGGTGTGTGGTGTTGGTGTGTCTGTGTCCGTGTCCGTGTCCGTGTCCGTGTCCGTGCGTGTGTGTGTGTGGTCGTGTGTGTGTGTGGTGTGTGGTGGTGTGTGTGTTTGTGTGAGGTGTGTGTGTGTGTGGTGTGTGTATTTGTGCGCGCGTGTGTTGCCTTGTCATGTCATGTCATGTCATGTCATGCCATGTCTTGTCTTGTCTTGTCTTGCCTTGTCTGTCTTGTATGGTGTGTGTGGTGTGTGTGGTGTGTGTGTGGTGTGTGGTGTGTGGTGTGTGTGGGTGGTGTGTGGTGTGTGTGTGTGGTGTGCGGTGTGCGTGTGTGCGGTGTGCGGTGTGTGGTGTGGTGTGGTGTGGTGTGTGGTGTGTGGTGTGTGGTGTGTGGTGTGTGGTGTGTGGTGTGTGGTGTGTGGTGTGTGGCGTGTGGTGTGTGGTGTGTGGTGTGTGGTGTGTGGTGTGTGGTGTGTGGTGTGTGGTGTGTGGTGTGTGGTATGTGGTGTGTGGTGTGTGGTGTGTGGTGTGTCCGTGTCCGTGTCCGTGTCCGTGTCCGTGTCCGTGTCTGTGTGTCTGTGTGTCTGTGTGTCTGTGTGAATGTGTGTCTGTGTGTCTGTGTGTCTGTGTGTCTGTGTGTCTGTGTGTGTGTGTCTGTGTGTGTGTCTGTGTGTCTGTGTGTCTGTGTGTCTGTGTGTCTGTGTGTCTGTGTGTCTGTGTGTCTGTGTGTGTGTGTGTGGGCACCTGCTGGCAGGGCCTGCTTCGTCTTCGATGTTCCCCCCTGCAGAAACGCGGGGGAGGAGGTAAGAGGAGGCGGCAGGTGGCGGCATCCGAACCCTGCCCCCCCCCCCCGCCGCCCCCCAGCGACCCTCGATGCGCCCCAGTCGATGGGCGGCGGGGGGGCAGGGCTCGAACTCCGCCGGCGGGCTCGAGGAACTCCGAACCCCGCCCCCGCCGCCCGTCGAGGCGCCAGGGTCGTTGAGGGGCGAGGGCGGGGCTCGGAGCTCGTCGCCGAGGCGGAGGTCCCGAAGCCGGAGCGGGGCTCGGGCGGCGAGGCCTCGAGCGGGGCACCCCGAGCCAAGGCTCGCGCGCGCAGCTGCGTGGGGGCACGTCTCCCACGAGCGGGCGGCCACGGCGGCGGCGACGGCTACCACAGGAACAGAAAAGACGCCGCAGACACAAAACTTTTGGCGCGCCGCGCGGATTTCTCGGACCTGCGCTGGACCCCCTCCCTGGCGCGCGGAGCGCGGATCCAAGAAACCCGCGCGGAGCGCCAAAAGTCTATGTGTATGCCTTGTTCCTTGTTCGATGCGACGTCCCTTTGCGGCTCTGCTTACTCTGAGTTTGTGGGAAGCCCGCATGCGGCCAAGGCGTGTCAGCCCAGATCCGAAGTCACACGTCGTCGTTTGAGCCAACACCGTTTGAGATCTGCCCACCGGTCTTGGTGCATAACAGAACTCCGCCAAACGCCGCCCAATGTGCTCCGAAATTGGTGTTCGAATCGCCGCATGCGTAAGTAAGCGCCTGCCATTGAACTGTCGACCACCTTACTGTTCCAGCTGCCGCAAGCCTGTGTTGGCCTGGCCCTGCAAAAGACCTGCTGGGCGATCCTGTCCTGCAAGTGTTTCGGAGCAGGGCGAATTGAGGCAACGGCAACTCAAAATCGGTCCCCGGACCCCTCCCGCGGTCCAACCGCACTGTTTCCGAGCTGCGTCCAGCCATGGCTACGAGAGGGCCCCCGAAGGCCAAATACCGTTGTCTTAACTCGCCCTCCTCTGCGTATTTACAATAGCCTGCAGTTGCGGATGAAAGTGAGGGGGCGGTGGGGTCGTCGGCAGTCTGCGAGGGTCTAAAGGAGCCCGCCGCAGGTGCAGCGTTTTTTTGTTTTATCCATGACGAAACGAGGCAGGCGCTAACTTTTCGTCAAAGCAACGTGGTTGGCTCGCGGGTGGGTCGCGGGGTTGGTCGCGTGTGGGTCACGGGGTGGGTCGAGGGTGCCGCGGGCGGGCCAAGACGAGGACGACGACAACGACCAAGAATCCGAACGCGGAAGCCCACTTCAGGCACGCACCGAGGGATGGTGTAAGACCGTTCGGCCCCGTAACTCTGACCAGGACGACGACGGCGACGAGGACAAGAGCGACGACGACGGCGACGACAGCGGCGGCGGCCGCGGCGGCGGCGCAGCCTCGCCGTGGCGGTTGGAGCCGAGCTCCAGCCGCCGCAGAAGCCAGCTCTCCACGAGTGGCTTCCAGCCTCGGTTGGAGGGGGGGAGGGGCAAGAGAGCCCATAATCGAATCGACAAATCGGATCGGCGAATCGGCAACCGAATCGGGAAATGTCGAATCGGCAGACATTGGCAGTCTAGTCGGCCTCCATTGAGAAATCGGATGCCAAATCGGACCCCGATCGAAGAAATCTGCGCGGAGCACCACAAGTTTATGGTTACGGCGTTTTTCCTTCTTCGAGGTAAACCTTCAAGCTTCTGCCGGAGACCTCGTCGAGCTCTCTTGAGGCAGGGGGGTGGCAAGGCTTCGCCTCCGGGCGCGATGAAGAGCTCAACAGCAGGGCCACCAACTTGCGCTTCTGGAGCGCGTGGCGACTCTCGCATGCGCTCTGTCTGACAGAACTTGCCATCGCTCGGACGTCCGTTCCCCGTCACTTGTTGACGTCGTGCGCATTTTTGTTCGCGCAAGGTGATCCAAGATGCCCCCCGATGTCCACCCGAACAATTTGCATACCGTGCCCAGAAAGCCCCAGAAGGGGCGAGCGAGGAGGGTCCTGGTCGCGAGTCCGGCAAACAGCATTCCCTCCCTGGGGCGTGGTTCTTGTACACTGCAAGTGGCCCCCGGCGGTGGAATCTGATGCTCGAAGCCAAGATCTCGGATCCTCGACCCGAGGATCTGGCCTCCTTGATGGCGGCCTGGGCCTGACGACGGCGACGGCGACGATCGAGGATCTCCGAGGCTCGATCCTCGATCCTCGGCGAAGGCCGCGGGGAGGGTGCGGTATACACAGAAATCCGCCGACCCTGTCGGCGTGTGTGAGGGGCTTTTCCGTTCGAGCCGTCATCTCCGTCATTCTTTGTACTCGTCGTCTCTGTCCTTCCCTTTCCCTGGGAGACCTCTTCCCCTGGGCTCCAGCCAAGCCGACCTTGAGCAACCTCGTAATTGAGTCGAAGGGAAGCCCCTTCCCTTTGATCCCTCCCCCGCCGGGAGGGGGGGGGGGTAGCGACCCCCCCCCCGGGTCAGATACGACGCCCCCCCCTGGGACTCCTCTTCCCCTGGGCTCCAGCCAAGCCGACCTTGAGCAACCTCGTAATTGAGTCGAAGGGAAGCCCCTTCCCTTTGATCCCTCCCCCGCCGGGAGGGGGGGGGGGGGTAGCGACCCCCCCCCCGGGTCAGATACGACGCCCCCCCCTGGGACTCCTCTTCCCCTGGGCTCCAGCCAGCCGACCTTGAGCCGAAGGGAAGCCCCTTCCCTTTGATCCCTCCCCCGCCGGGAGGGGGGGGGGGGTAGCGACCCCCCCCCCGGGTCAGATACGACGCCCCCCCCTGGGACTCCTCTTCCCCTGGGCTCCAGCCAAGCCGACCTTGAGCAACCTCGTAATTGAGTCGAAGGGAAGCCCCTTCCCTTTGATCCCTCCCCCGCCGGGAGGGGGGGGGGGGTAGCGACCCCCCCCCCGGGTCAGATACGACGCCCCCCCCTGGGACTCCTCTTCCCCTGGGCTCCAGCCAAGCCGACCTTGAGCAACCTCGTAATTGAGTCGAAGGGAAGCCCCTTCCCTTTCATTCCTCCCCCGCCGGGAGGGGGGGGGGGTAGCGGGGGGGGTAGCGACCCCCCCCCGAGTCAGATACGACGCCCCCCCCCCGTACCGACCTTGAGCAACGTCGTCATTGAGTCGAAGGGAAGCCCCTTCCCTTTCCCTTCCCCGACGGGGGGGGGAGAGGAGGTCCCGGGGGGGGTCCCGGGGGAGTCCCGGGGAAGTCCCGGGTCAGATACGACACCTCCCTCCCCCACCTTCTCGTCCTTCTCCCCGTTCCCCCAAACCATCCCACAGCCCGTGCCTCTTGCTGCGCATTGCGAACAGGGTCGGCGGCACCGGCCGTCAGGCCTTCGCAATCTTGAGAACGATAGCCCTCGCCGCGAACAAAACTGCACACGTCCGAGCATCAGGTCAGGCACGTCCTCCTACAATCAAGGCGGATCTTGGAAGACAAATGGAACATGGTCAGACCACAATCAAACAGAGTGAGAAGAGCACGTGGAATCGCCCCCTAGCTATTTGTTCCTATTCTGGACTATCCCTCCTGTGGAGGGACACGCCAGACCGAATCCGAGCGATGCCGGGCGAGCCGTTCGCAGGGGGCCCAGAATGAAGGCCCCTCCTCCCAGGCCCCCCCCCCCCTGCTGACAGGGGGTATGTCGACCCCCATCCCAGGCTTGGGGAGGTCATCGACTCGTCGACTACAGTCGGGGCCTTGACCTAAGGAACCCAAAACAAGGAACGAGGCCCCTTTTCTCCATAAGTTGAACTTCGATTTCGTATCGAAAACCTAAGGAAAACCTGAGGCAAGCTGCGAAACACTTAAGGAACACGGAGCCCCTCCCCAACGAAAAGGGCTCCTTCTTCAGGGCCCCGACTGCAAACCAAAAAAAAAATGGGGGCCCGACCCTGGGAGAAACACGATCGGGGGGCGCCCGTCCTCGATGGGGGTGCGTCCGAATCGCCCCCTGGGCTCAGCGCCCCTCAAACGGGGACTCCACTAACGGGTACTTTGGCCAGTGACCCAGCGAACCCAGTCCTTCCCGATGTGGGCAAAGCTGCAATGCAAGAAAAAGGCCCTAAAGTGGCAACTTTGGGCAAAAATCCCAAGTACCCGTTAGTAAATACCCGTTACGGTGCCGTTGATGGGCGTGTATCCCCGGGATGCCAGATGCCCTCCTTTTTTTCTAAGCGGGCTCCTCCTGCGTCGTGAGGTCGGGGGTGGGGGGGGGAGGAACGTCGCCTGCGAACCGACAAGGGCCCGTAAGGGGACGAACGGGCACCCCGCACGCCTCTCGGCGACTCGATACCCTCCTTTTCTAAGCGCGCTCCTCCTGCGTCGTGAGGTCGGGGGTGGGAGGGGGAGGAACGTCGCCTGCGAACCGACACCCGGAGCGATCCTCGTCGACCAACTCGCGGGTCGCGGCTCGAAAAGGGCCCGTAAGGGGACGAACGGGAACCCCGCACGCCTCTCGGCGACGCGATACCCTCCTTTTCTAAGCGCGATCCTCCTGCGTCGTGCGGTCGGGGGTGGGAGGGGGAGGAACGTCGCCTGCGAACCGACACCCGGAGCGGTCCTCGTCGACCAACTCGCGGGTCGCGACTCGAGAAGGGCCCGTAAGGGGACGAACGGGAACCCCGCACGCCTCTCGGCGACGCGATACCCTCCTTTTCTAAGCGCGCTCCTCCTGCGTCGTGAGGAAGGGGTGGGAGGGGGAGAAACGTCGCCTGCGAACCGACACCCGGAGCGATCCTCGTCGACCAACTCGCGGGTCGCGGCTCGAAAAGGGCCCGTAAGGGGACGAACGGGAACCCCGCACGCCTCTCGGCGACGCGATACCCTCCTTTTCTAAGCGCGATCCTCCTGCGTCGTGCGGTCGGGGGTGGGAGGGGGAGGAACGTCGCCTGCGAACCGACACCCGGAGCGGTCCTCGTCGACCAACTCGCGGGTCGCGACTCGAGAAGGGCCCGTAAGGGGACGAACGGGAACCCCGCACGCCTCTCGGCGACGCGATACCCTCCTTTTCTAAGCGCGCTCCTCCTGCGTCGTGCGGTCGGGGGTGGGAGGGGGAGAAACGTCGCCTGCGAACCGACGCCCTGAAGCGATCCTCGTCGACCAACTTGCGGGTCGCGACTCGAAAAGGGCCCGTAAGGGGACGAACGGGAACCCCGCACGCCTCTCGGCGACGCGATACCCTCCTTTTCTAAGCGCGCTCCTCCTGCGTCGTGCGGTCGGGGGTGGGAGGGGGAGAAACGTCGCCTGCGAACCGACACCCTGAGCGATCCTCGTCGACCAACTCGCGGGTCGCGACTCGAAAAGGGCCCGTAAGGGGACGAACGGGAACCCCGCACGCCTCTCGGCGACGCGATACCCTCCTTTTCTAAGCGCGTTCCTCCTGCGTCGTGAAGTCGGGCGTGGGAGGGGGAGAGAAACGTCGCCTGCGAACCGACACCCGGAGCGGTCCTCGTCGACCAACTCGCGGGTTTGCGACTCGAGAAGGGCCCGTGAGGGGACGAACGGGCACCCCGCACGCCTCTCGGCGACGCGATACCCTCCTTTTTTCTAAGCGCGTTCCTCCTGCGTCGTGAGGTCGGGGGTGGGAGGGGGAGGAACGTCGCCTGCGAACCGACACCCGGAGCGGTCCTCGTCGACCAACTCGCGGGTCGCGACTCGAAAAGGGCCCTAAGGGGACGAACGGGAACCCCGCACGCCTCTCGGCGACGCGATACCCTCCTTTTTTCTAAGCGCGTTCCTCCTGCGTCGTGAAGTCGGGCGTGGGAGGGGGAGAAACGTCGCCTGCGAACCGACACCCGGAGCGGTCCTCGTCGACCAACTCGCGGGTCGCGACTCGAAAAGGGCCCGTAAGGGGACGAACGGGAACCCCGCACGCCTCTCGGCGACGCGATACCCTCCTTTTCTAAGCGCGTTCCTCCTGCGTCGTGAGGTCGGGGGTGGGAGGGGGAGGAACGTCGCCTGCGAACCGACACCCGGAGCGATCCTCGTCGACCAACTTGCGGGTCGCGACTCGAAAAAGGCCATCCGGGACGAACGGGAACCCCGCACGCCTCTCGGCGACGCGATACCCTCCTTTTCTAAGCGCGCTCCTCCTGCGTCGTGAAGTCGGGGGTGGGAGGGGGAGAAACGTCGCCTGCGAACCGACACCCTGAGCGGTCCTCGTCGACCAACTCGCGGGTCGTGACTCGAAAAGGGCCCTCCGGGACGAACGGGAACCCCGCACGCCTCTCGGCGACGCGATACCCTCCTTTTCTGAGCGCGTTCCTCCTGCGTCGTGAAGTCGGGCGTGGGAGGGGGAGGAACGTCGCCTGCGAACCGACGCCCTGAGCGGTCCTCGTCGACCAACTCGCGGGTCGTGACTCGAAAAGGGCCCTCCGGGACGAACGGGAACCCCGCACGCCTCTCGGCGACGCGATACCCTCCTTTTCTGAGCGCGTTCCTCCTGCGTCGTGAAGTCGGCGCGGGAGGGGGAGAAACGTCGCCTGCGAACCGACGCCCTGAGCGGTCCTCGTCGACCAACTTGCGGGTCGCGACTCGAAAAGGGCCCTCCGGGACGAACGGGAACCCCGCGCGCCTCTCGGCGACGCGATACCCTCCTTTTCTGAGCGCGTTCCTCCTGCGTCGTGAAGTCGGGCGTGGGAGGGGGAGAAACGTCGCCTGCGAACCGACACCCTGAGCTGTCCTCGTCGACCAACTCGCGGGTCGCGACTCGAAAAGGGCCCGTAAGGGGACGAACGGGAACCCCGCACGCCTCTCGGCGACGCGATACCCTCCTTTTCTGAGCGCGTTCCTCCTGCGTCGTGAAGTCGGGCGTGGGAGGGGGAGAAACGTCGCCTGCGAACCGACGCCCTGAGCGGTCCTCGTCGACCAACTCGCGGGTCGTGACTCGAAAAGGGCCCTCCGGGACGAACGGGAACCCCGCACGCCTCTCGGCGACGCGATACCCTCCTTTTCTGAGCGCGTTCCTCCTGCGTCGTGAAGTCGGGCGTGGGAGGGGGAGAAACGTCGCCTGCGAACCGACGCCCTGAACGGTCCTCGTCGACCAACTTGCGGGTCGCGACTCGAAAATGGCCCTCTGGGACGAATGGGAACTCCGCGCGCCTCTCGGCGACGCGATACCCTCCTTTTCTGAGCGCTTTCCTCCTGCGTCGTGAAGTCGGGCGTGGGAGGGGGAGAAACGTCGCCTGCGAACCGACACCCTGAGCGGTCCTCGTCGACCAACTTGCGGGTCGTGACTCGAAAAGGGCCCTCCGGGACGAACGGGAACCCCGCGCGCCTCTCGGCGACGCGATACCCTCCTTTTCTGAGCGCGTTCCTCCTGCGTCGTGAAGTCGGGCGTGGGAGGGGGAGAAACGTCGCCTGCGAACCGACACCCGGAGCGGTCCTCGTCGACCAACTCGCGGGTCGCGACTCGAAAAGGGCCCTCCGGGACGAACGGGAACCCCGCGCGCCTCTCGGCGACGCGATACCCTCCTTTTCTGAGCGCGTTCCTCCTGCGTCGTGAAGTCGGGCGAGGGAGGGGGAGAAACGTCGCCTGCGAACCGACGCCCTGAACGGTCCTCGTCGACCAACTTGCGGGTCGCGACTCGAAAAGGGCCCTCCGGGACGAACGGGAACCCCGCACGCCTCTCGGCGACGCGATACCCTCCTTTTCTAAGCGCGTTCCTCCTGCGTCGTGAGGTCGGGGGTGGGAGGGGGAGAAATGTCGCCTGCGAACCGACACCCGGAGCGGTCCTCGTCGACCAACTCGCGGGTCGCGACTCGAAAAGGGCCCGTAAGGGGACGAACGGGAACCCCGCACGCCTCTCGGCGACGCGATACCCTCCTTTTCTAAGCGCGTTCATCCTGCGTCGTGAAGTCGGGGGTGGGAGGGGGAGAAACGTCGCCTGCGAACCGACACCCTGAGCGGTCCTCGTCGACCAACTCTCGGGTCGCGACTCGAAAAGGGCCCGTAAGGGGACGAACCGGCACCCCGCGCGCCTCTCGGCGACGCGCAGCTGCCGAAACGCGCATTCCCAGGCAGGACCCCAGGCAGGAACCGACGACCCCTGGCGCATTGCCCACAAAAAGAGGCACATCGCGAGATACAGTCGGGGCCTTGACCTGAGGAACCCTAAAGAAGGAACGAGGCCCCTTTTTCCATAAGCTAACCTTCGATTTGCTGCCGAAGACAGAAGGAAAACCTGAGGCAAGCTGTGAAACACTCAAGGAACACCGAGCCCCTCCCCAACGAAAAGGGTTCCTTCCTCAGGGCCCCGACTGTATCACGACCCGAGCCCTTGACCCTATCTTCCTGCGACAGTTGTCGAAGCGGATCCATCTGTGAGGCTCCTGGGGCCCGAAACTGGGTGCACACGCCTACGGTGAAAAACATTGCCGCGCCAGGATCCCAGGGACAACGTTCGAAAACCCCCCTGACCGCTCCCCGCAGGGATGGGGGGGGATCCCTGCAGGCCGCACCGGCGGCGGGACTGGGATCCGCCGAGGCCACGAGCATGCAATCGGCGCGCGGCGATCGGGGATCGGATCAGCGGGCGTGGAACGGTATAGGATGAGCTCTTCCACCACCGGAGGCACCTAACCAAGGGCGGCCGGGAAGTTCACGCGCCGACGGCGGCAGGTGGGAGGAGGAGGAGGAGGAAGAGGAGGAGGACGAGGAGGAGGAGGAGGGGGAGGAGGGGGAGGAGGACGAGGACGAGCGCCCCCGATTGCTGGAACAGTCAATGTCATCAGAGCGAGGGGTCGGGACGGTCCCTCCCTGGCCCCGGGTGCGTGGCCGAAGTGGGGCTCCGTGGCCTCGGTTCTGCTGTTGGTGTCGGCGCCGTCTCCCCCGCGACCCCCCGCGCGATCCACCCCGCGACGCACCCCCCGCGACCCCACCCCGCGAACCAACCACGACCGATCCGCGACGCAACCCCCGCGACCCACCCGCGACCCACCCCACGCTGCCTCGTTGCATAAAACTGCGCATGCGGCGGCCCCGTGGTGCAGTGCGCAAGAAACAGAATCCACTCCCGCGGCGGGCTTCGGAGAACGGGAAACCCACCCTCGCCATAATCACCCCGACAAGGGGAGCCGTTTAGTAAACGCGCCCATGGAGGGAAACGAACAGGGCAGGGCTGTCTAGTTAACGCCAAGTATCGGGGTCGGGGTGACTGTTCCTCCATAGAGGCTTCTTAGAGCACTGGCAGACTGCCGACGAGCCCCCCGACCCCGTCACTCTCATCCGCCACTGCAGGGTGCTGCGTACAAGCGCCCTTATTCGCCCGCTCCTCGGCGGGAAGACCTCTCGAGTAGGGGGCCGACTGTAGCATTGACTTACCCCATAATCCATTTTGACGTCGAAATGGTCAACGAATAATCTAACCTTCGTAGATCTACCAAAGAGTTCCTTACGCGTTTCCCCTGGATCCGACGAGATAAAACATGTCTGGGGTAAACCAATTCTTCGGTGGCAACTCATGAGAGCCTCATATACCATCTTCTTCATTCTTGCGAATCGACGCTAATCGACGCTAGATCGACGCGAATCTATGCTGAATCGACGCTAAGCGATGCGAGCCAAAGCTACATCGGCGCTATATCATCGACTCCAGACGCGAATCGGCACCAGTCGACGCTGAAGACGGAAGTAAGCGAGGGTATACCAGGCTCCCATGGTTTGCCACCGAAGTGTTCGTGGATCGACCAAAGCTCCGCACGCATTTCCCACGGATTCCGACGAGACACATCGATGCTGGGGTAATTCCACTCCGCAGTCGACCCCTTGCTGTAAGTCGGGCCTGTCCCCCTACAGGGGGATTTTCGACGCAAACTGAGACATACCGCAAACATGCCCCAAAAAGGTTAAACAAAAATACTCAAAAAATGGTATCCAGACTATTTTTGGATTATCTTTTGGCTTTTTTTTTAATGTTCGTCGAACATCCCCCTCGACGAAAAATAAAACATACACAAAAAATGCCCACAAAAGTCAAACAAATAAAAATAGTCCCCAGACTATTTTTGACTATCTTTTGATTATTTTAGGGGGTATTTTTGGTTTCTGGTCGAAAATCCCCCTGTAGGGGGACAGGCCCGCCTTAACCCCTGCTCGAACCTCGGCCCGGGCTGAGCGCGCGGCCGAGGTCGCTGGCGCTCACGTAGATGATGCCGGCACGGGAGACCTGCGACACCGCTGCCCCGGGGCAGCGGCTTGGCAGCAGGGGGGGGGGGCACAAAGGACGTACGCGCCCAGCTATGTACATGAACACGGCCCCTCGATCCGCGAGACCGGCCGCAACATTTGCGCAATGCATACTCTCGAAACCAGCGTGGATTCATGTACGTGTACGTCCTTTTGTCGCTCCTGAGGGGGGGGGGCCTCGGGGGGAGGAGCCCTGACCCTCCAGGGGGGCTAAGACATCACGCCAGGACCTCGACACCTAGACTCCAGTCGGGGGTTTGCAGCGGTCTCGGCCTGACTTTCCAGGAGGGCGAAGGAATAGCGCCAGGACCTCGACATCTGGGCTTCAGTCGAGGTCTTAAGAGGTACAGATCAGCTTAGCGGTATGCTTTTATTCGACACTCTGGAAAGTCAGGAAGGAAGCAAGAACGTCATGAGGGCTTACACCGGCCAATTGGACCTTACACCTGCCACACTGGCCGCGAAGATTCACCGTCCAAGCGGGACTTTCACCGGGCGAGGGCATTAAACGAAGCAGTATGTAGTGCTCGTTGCTGTGAAGCGAAGAATGCTTGAGCACACAGCAGGCTATACCTGGATTGTCTGCAATTCCTTCACCACTTTTGACTAGCCGGTGTAATGACCAACCTGGCCGGGGGAGTGACCAATATGGGTCACTGGTGGAGGAAGTAATGATAATAATAATAATGGTAATAATAATAACAATGATGATAATGATGATGATGATGATGATGATGATGATGATGATGATGGTGGTGGTGGTGGTGGTGGTGATGACGATGACGATGACGATGACAAGACGATGACAGTGACGACGACAACGACACCTACGACGATGATGAATTGTACAACTAATGGTGATGATGCTGATGAAGATGCTGATGCTGATTTTGATGATGATGATGATGCTTATGACGATGGGGATGATGATGATGATGATGGTGATGCTGATGACGATGATGATAACGACCATGACGATGACAGTGACGATGATGAGCGGATAACGGTGATTGTAATGATGGTTGGTGGTGAAGATGCTGACGCTGATGGCGATGATGATGATGATGATGATGATGATGATGATGATGATGATGATGATGATGATCATGGTGATGATGATGGTGATGGTGATGGTGTTGGTGATGGTGGTGATGGTGGTGATGAAGGCGATTATGATCATGATGCTGCTGATGATGATGATGATGGAGAAGATGGCGGCAACTGTGTTGATCGTGATGATAATGGTGATGGTGATGGTGATGATGATGGTGGTGATGGTGATGGGTGGTGGTAATAATGATGGTAATGATGCGCATTAGCATCCTCTAGCGTTCGACACTCGGCAAGACAGCGCCGATGTAGCGTCTATTAGCGTCGAAGTAGCGTCCCGATCTCTTCCATGCCGACGTTGACGAGATGATATTGGTGATGATGACAGTGATGTTGATGGTGGTGATGGTGGAGATGATGATGATGATCGGTATGATGATCATGATGATGGTGATGATGAGATGATGATGATGATGATGATGATGATGATGATGATGATGATGATGATGATGATGATGATGATGATGATGATGACGATTCAGATTATGCTCATGATGCTGATGACGCTGATGATCCCCATCTCGATCCTGATGGTAGTGATGATGATGACGACACTGATGATGGTGGTGACGATGATAATGACGATGGTCATGATGATGATGATGAGGCTGGTGGCGATGGCGATGGTAATGGTGATGACGATGGGGATGATGAGAAAACGCGAGGGTTGGAGCAGGAGGGTGAGGACGGGAAGGAGCAGAAATAGGAGGAAGAGGATGGGGAGGTAAGAGAAGGAGGAGTACTAGGAGGAGATATGAGGAGGAGGAAGAAGGGAGGAGGAGGAGAAGGCGGAGGAGGAGGAGGGGGAGGAGGAGGAGGAGAAGGAGGTAGGAGGTAGGAAGGTTCCCTACAATTGACCATTCATGATCCCTCAATTGATCCTTGAGAATCCCTCAGGATCCTGCAAGATGCCTGAATTGATGCTGCAAACTCCCTCAATTGAGCCCTTACGGGTCCCCCATTAGAGCGTTTGCGGAACATTAGGCGCGGTTCTGCGGAAGCTCAAGGGCGCGCTCCCAGACAACCGGTGAAAACACCATTCCGCCGGTGAAAGACGCAATTTCGGAATGGGTTTGCGAAGGTGGCCAGTGAAGACGCGGTTCGGCCGGTAAAAAGGTCGACTTCGCTGGTGTAGACCCTGTTCTCTTCAGGAGCAGGGGCGGGAGAGGAGGCGAGGGGTGGAAGGAGGAGGGGGCGAGGAGAGAGGAGGGGAGGGGAGGAAGGGCGGCGGGGACGGAGACCCCGAGGGCGTCGTCGGAGACCCCGAATCCACGAAGCCCCCACTGAAACATCAAAGAACCCCAAAAGCATCTAGTCCTTCCCTCCTTCCGTCGGTCGCGAGCCCTGGCCCCTGTGGAGCCAGGTGTCCCTGTGTCGTGGGCTTGCGCGGAGAGCAGGCCGCCATGCTGGCGCAACAGCTGACGCTGCTTCATTCCTCGAGTCCTCGAGAAGCCTCGAGTAGAGAGCATGAGCACCACCCTCATCACGAGCACCCCGACAAGCGGAGCGGTCTAGCCAGCGCACTCAAGGAGGGAATCGAACAGGACGGGGCTGAGCAGTAAAAGCCCAGGGCCATCTGGCAGACAAACATGGTGGGGGGTCGGGGTGGGTCTTCATCCCCTGATCGAGAGGCGAGGGAAGACGACCGTCGCGGGCGAGGCGTTGCGCAGATTCTCCACCTCGAACACGATCCGGCAGTTGTCCGTCATGGGGATGCGGTCGTTGTTGGCCAGCGTCAGAATCCGCCCGCCCCCTATGGGGCCACGAAACGTGATGATGATGGTGGTGATGATGATGCTGATGATGGTGGGAGGAGGGAGAGGGGGAGGAGGAGAAGAGGAGAAGAGGAGAGGAGGAGGAGAGGAGGAGGAGGAGAGGAGGAGGAGGAGAGAGGAGGAGGAGGATGAGGAGGAGGAGGAGGAGCTCCCGCGGGAGGCCACGTGCGCGCGAGAGCGCTTCTCGAAGCTCGGGGCCCGAGACGCGCCGAGGGGGCCTGTCGGCGGCGAGCCGCCCTGCCCTGCCCCGACCCCTGCCCGCCCGCCTGCCCCTCCCCAAGCGCGCCTCCCGCCCAACTCTCCTCCTCCTCCTCCTCCTCCTCCTCCTCCTCCTCCTCCTCCTCCTCCTCCTCTTCCTCTCCTCCTCCTCCTCCTCCTCCTCCTCCTCCCCCTCCTCCCCCTCCTCCTCCTCCTCCTCCTCCTCCTCCTCCTCCTCCTCCTCCTGCCGAACTCTCCCCCTCCACTTCCGCATCCTCCGACCTTCCTCCTCTACCCGCATCTCGGCGGCGAGCCCGAGAAGGGGAAGTGATAAAGGGGCATATGTCTTGTCAGAAGGCGCTGCGAGGCTTCTCAGAAGCCCTCGCGCCTTCTGAACAGCTTGGGAAGCTTCTCAGATCCTCTTCCTCCTCCTCCTCCTCCTCCTTCAGGCCCGAGGCCTTCCGAGCCGTCTGAAAAGGCCTGCTAACCTCTCTCTTCCCCCCTGGGCTCGTCGCCGAGTGACGGGGGAACGATGTACAGCCGAAACATGGTCACGATGACGCGGGTCAAGAGCATGAGCCCCTTCGCCAGTGGCCCAAGGCCCCAGCGAGATACCCCAAACGAAGAGCGCTACAAGCTGGAGAGCCCCAAATACGTAGAAGGGAAGGGTACTCCCCAAAAGTCTAGGCTTGGTCTTAACCCTCGTGCGAGCTGTAGGGAGAAACGTCGGCGATAAGCACGTTCCTGGGCGGGATGGGCTGTCGGGCCCCTATCGGCGATGAATAGGCGATTGGGGATCGACTCGTCCCCCCTGAACATGTCCCCACCCTGTCGTTGCCCCGTTGCTTTCGTGCCATTCTTCGGCTCTCTGGCAGCCGTTCGGGACGGTCGGGGCAGCCTGGGAACGCTCTCGGCGAGGCGTAGCTGCTGGAAGGCGCCCCGAGGCTGGGAAACCGCAGAGAGCTGCCGAACCAACACACATCCATACTCACAGGGTGGACGGAAGGGGCTCTGGGTGCGTGTTGTCGGATGAGGGTCCCCGCTCGAAAGGGGGCCTCCATACCCATAGCCAGTCCTCCTCCCTCCGACCCCTACGGGTGTGGGTGTGTTGTTCGTTTGCGGAACATTCGAAATCCTCGAACCTCGAACCCTCCGCGCTGCTCCTGAGAAAGGGTGGGGCGACCGATCCGACAGAGGCGACCCGCGCGCGAGCAGAACGCCCTTGAACGCCGGCGCCCAGATATGGCCGAGAGTGGGCAGGGTGGTGAGCGTTTTCTTAGCCTGCGCTTCGGCACTCGACAGAAGGGGGGGAGGGGCTGGGGATCTGGCTCTGGACCTCTGCTACATGCCACTGTTTGCAGCAGTGCGCCCCATGGGGGAGAGGTTCCACCTGCTCAAAACAGGCGCCCCAAACAGCCAAGAGCTGCTCCACCTGGGGGGGGGGGAGAGGGGAGAGGGGGTGCGAGGGCCCGCGCCGATGAGGAGGAGGAGGAGGAGGAGGAGGAGGAGGAGGAGGAGGAGGAGGAGGAAGGAGGATGAGGAGGAAGAGGAGGAGGATGAGGAAGAGGAGAAGGAAGGGGTGCGAGGGCCCGCGCCGATCGGCAAAACGATGAATCCGGAAGCGACGGCACGAGTGAAGCCCTGCCTCCTGCCTGCAGCAGGCGCGGAGCACGGGGAACGCGACCAAGAAAACGAGAGAGCGAGCGGGCCTGCCCTCGCCGCGAGGCAGCTCTCTGCCGGGGCGGCGGGCGCGCCGAGCGAGCGAGCCTCCAGGGAGACCAGGCTGCCTTGTGGAGGAAAATCAATGGAGAGGAAGCATGTTGCCAAATAATTTCCATATGCCTAAAACATGTCTAAAACATGTCTTAAACATGTACACAAATATGTGTCAAACATGTCTAGAACATTGTTCTACAGTGTGAACACAGTTAGAATTCAATGATAGGACTGTTAGGGTGTCCATTGTCGTGGCATCCACAAACGTTGCTGATCAGGTTCGGAAGCTGGCGAGGGCTGGCGAATCCGTGGCTGCTAAGACGGTCTTCCTCGAAGAAAAACCCGGAATAAAACTCAGAGTGCGAAATAGTAACCGGGCTGCTTCCTGGAAGAATATACACATATCACGGAGCTCCGGTTTAGCAGCCACGAGTTTTCCAGCCTTCGCCTGGCTTCTGACAGGTGCAGAACGAGCCACACATGATAGATATGAACATATCAGCGCCGCGTGCGTTTAAAGTACTCATCTCGGGAACCTGTTCGTAATCTCGGAATTCCTGGCGCGTGCCATCATCGCGCCTTCCTTAGAGGCCTCCCATAATAGGGTCCGGGCAGACGTGGTAGGAGGATTCCACCGCATCGCCGATGAATCGGCGACGTAGACGTAAAGAAAATTGAACTCTACATGAAGCCGCATCGCCAATGCATCGGTGATGCGGCGAGATCCTCCGACCCCATCTTCGGCTACACGTAAGAGTGACCCGAAGCAAGAGTGACCGTTGGTGCGCGGCTTTCGGGGACCACGTGGAGGCCAAACCTGAGAGCAAGCAAGATATTGTGCTATTATGTCGAGCTCAGTCCTCTGGGGGCCCCAGTGTGCCCGCACCAACGTTCACCCTAGCGAACGGTCACTCTCACGCATGCCGCATAGCCGACACCTGCTCGTCGAGTAGGAGATCGACTACAGAATGTACTATCACCCCCACATTGAAGCCTTCGTCGAAACTAGAAAACATACGTTGACTTTTCGTAGACCTACAAAACATTAAACCGCACTTCTGGGGCAAATCAATTATGTGATCGATCCCTTACTCGAGTGAGGGAGGCCTAGATTTGCAGGGGCCCAGGGACACACAACAAGCAAAGAGACACAGGCCCCAAGATCCCCCATCTATTCCGCATTCTCTGGCTTCTCGCTTCCTCCCCCCTCCGACATCTTCCCACATGTCCCGGGGAATCGACGATTCTCTGCGCCCGTATGCCTGCCCCTCCTGATCGACTCCTGCCCCTCCGAGACCCGCAGGCGACCGAAACGAAACGCTCCTCGACGCCAGCGGCGCCCAGAGATCTGGGCTCCGCGGCGCGGCGCGGCCTTCTGGCCCCGTCTGCTCGGACCCCACCCGTGGGGGCACCAGAAGGGACCCATGCGGCACAGGGAAACAAACACGGTTGGTGGACTAGGGGAACAAAAAGTAACATAAACGTAAAAACTCGGAGGTCCGCACGGATTTCTCGGATCGGCGCTGGGGCCCCCCGGCGGCGCCTCCGGCGCCGCCCCTGGCGCGCTCCGCGCGCCAGGGAGGGGGGTCCAGCGCGGGTCTGAGAAATCCGCGCGGAGCTTTTATGTTTGTGTCACTTTTTGTTCCCCGATGGACCCTCCCCCGACCCCCAAAAACTCCCAAAGTTGGCACGCGCGGGGAAGACTGCGGTCGAAAAATGCAACTCCTCCAGCGCACCGCCGGCATTGATCATTGGGGGGGGGGGCATGGACACAAGAATATGGCATGAACGTTCGCGAATTTCTTCCGAGGCCTGTACCGCTATTACTCCCAGGACCTCTCCCAGGGTGCACTCTGACCAGAATTTCGAGGCGCATCCGGCGGTGGTCCCAGGAGGCCCACAAGGGAAACACGAGGGGAGTGTAGCAGTGTGGGTACCCTAGGTCGGGCATGTCCCCCTACAGGTGGATTTTGGATATAAAATGCCAAAAATAGTCAAACCATACTCCAGAATGGTAAACACAATAAATTCAAAACATCGTCCCCGGATTGTTTTTGTGACTACGTTTGACTACTTTCCTCCTGTTGAGGGACACGCCCGACTTAACAAGGCCCTTTCCCTGTATACCCTTTTCGGGGGTCTGCTAACCCGGGTCAATCAGACCCGGGTCAGCAGGAAACCAAACAACTGCAATGCAGGAAACAAAAACTGCAGCGCAGGCCTTCGCAAACCAGGGTCAGCCAATATGCGCGGCCGCCTCGCGGCCACGAGCGGCTCGCTGGCCCGGGTCAGCCCGAGGGGGCCTTCGCAAGATCCTGCAGGATCCCGTGCCCTGGAAGACCCCCGCTTGCATTGCCCCGCGTCTCTCAAGCTCCGACCTTCCGTCTGGCCCTATGCTTATGTCGGGCGTGTCCCCCTACAGGGGGATTCTCGACGAAAAATAAAACATACCCCCCAAATGCCACAACAATGTCAAAAAATACTAAAAAATAGTCCCCATAATTTTTTGGGACTATTTCGGGGGGTGCCTTCTATTTTTCGTCGAAAAGCCCCCCTCTAGGGGACAGGCCCGACTTAACCCTATGCTCGGGGGGGGGGAGCGGGCGCTCCGCAGGTCGTGGCCCCCCCCTCCGCCCGGGGGGGGGGGTCGGCGGCCGCTCGGCGGGCGGACAGCCTCCGCGGGATCTTGTTGTCGTCGAGCACCGTGTTGAGGTTCTCGATCCAGATCGCGTCGACGGGGCCGTCGCAGATGATCCAGGAGGTGTACCTCGGGCCCGCCCCCGGGGTGCCCCCGCGGTGTGCCCCCTCGGGGATGGACAGGACCCCCTTGAGCAAGGCGTGGTGTAACGAACACGACCTCGGGCCCAAACCTGGCGGGCACAAGTCTGGGAGAGAACGGCCGCGGCGCCCTCTCGAGAACCGAAAACGAACGAAACACTAATCGAACTGTCATGGTGGGGGCTCTGTCCACCCCCGATCCCCTCCGTGCAAGTACGCGGGCGTCGAGGGGGAGAAGGATA